ATCCTCCTTTCCTGCCCATTCCCCCACCCCCCTTCCTTTCCTCAGCCCCTTTTCAAGCTCCCTGTCTGGCATTAGATTGCCCCCGGGCCATTAATACCAAATGACGTCTATGGACAAGCTTTGTGCTATTGCAAAATGCGCCCTGTGCACTAGCCGAGGGCTAAACTCGCCATTTCAATTATAGAGCACGGCTAGCTGGAGTGATGTGAGCTCTGAAGATTTCCCATGTAGATATTCTGCATCCCCACCTCTCCGCCGCCTCTGCAGCCTCCATTCCCTGCACAGGAAATACAAAAACCTTTTATCCAAAAAGAATAAAACAAAAACTTTTGCATGGGGTCACCCTGTCAGATTGTGCTCACGAAGATGTAAAAGAAAATTAAAACTAGCATAGAAACGCCACTTAAAAATGACAGTTTTCTGCGATACAAAGACAAGGGGTTGCCAACAGCAACCACACTGCAACAGTTTCAGCCAGAGGTTGAACACTATCATCTGACTGCCTGCTGGGGTCCACATTGATACTTTGTTATAGCATAGTAGAGAACTGCAATTGCTAGGACAAAGCCTTGCAACTTGCAATCCTTTTGCAGAGTTGATCTGGGATTCTGTAGTCACCCACAGCAACCTCATTCCAGCAGATGTTGCAGCGCAGGCTGAAAATAAACTATAGTGGGGTCAATAGTGAAAATGTGTGGCTGTTGTTAGTCCTCTAGATAGCATATGAATTTATTGTGTAGGAAGAGATGCAGATGCTAGGGCAGAGCCTATATTGAAGGATCAATCTAGGGGCTCTGTGGTCACCCATAGCAACCACAATCCAGTGCAGACAAGAATAAAAACCAACTAAAGAAGGGTCAACAGTGATAATTTGTTGCTTCCTATGTAGCTTATGAAATCATTGTATAGAAAAAGATGCAGTTAGGAAAGAGCCTTAGAACTTGCAATCATGTTGCAGTATTGATCTGGGACTCTGTGGTCACTCATGGCAACCACATTCCAGCAGTTCTTCCAGTGCAGGCTAGAAAACAAACTGTATACCATAGCAACCTCATTCTAGTGCGGGCCAGAAGAAAAAACTATAGAAGGGTCAACGGTGATCATGTGTTGCTTTCTAGGTAGCCTAATAAATCATTGTGTAGAAAGAGATACAGCTGAGGGCAAAGCCTTTGAATTCGCAAAAATGTTGCAATATTGATCTGGGAATCTGTGATCACCCATAGCAACCCCATTCCAGCACTTCTTCCAGTGCAGGCTAGAAAAAGAAACAATAGTGGTGCCAACCGTGATAATGTGTTGCTTTACAGATATTAAATCACTGTATAGAAAATATATAGCTAAGGGAAGAGCCTTAGAGCTGGCAACCATGTTGCAGGCGGCATTAATCTGGGAATCTGTGGTCACCCATAGCAACCACACTCCAACAGTTATTCTAATGCAGGGTAATATATAGATAAATGAAGAGATTTGCCCAGAAGGGGGATTTGCCCTCGACCCTGACATTGCAATTTTTGAATATCCCCCTTTTTTTTTTGTATCTAGCTGACATCTGGGCTCCTGATCTTTGAAGGGATGTAGCTGGAAAAAAAAAGGCAAAGAAACTTCTACTTAGGAGTGGTAACATCCTGAGACACATCGCTCATCTTCCCCAGGGACCCGAGGGGATGGCTGCAATACTTTTCTAAAAAACCATGTAAGCAAGAGGACCCATCAGGCTATAATAATCAGCACAAGGCTCCTCTCCATCATCTGCAGAAGATCGCTGGCGCCAACTAGTGTTCAGTGGCTGCAAGTGCAAAGTCATCTTCACCCCTCCATAAAGGTCAAATGCTTTTGTTTGGAGGTAAGCAGGAGGAAGGGGGTCCCAAGATGTAACTCCTTCTTCTTCTTTTTTTTCTTTTCCACAAAGACCGGGTGCGGGGATTAGTATAATTAATTTGATATTCCATATGCCTTTTGTTCCCGCGCATCACAAAGCTACAAAAGAACTTCATACAGTCTTTTTATCCCCTTGGCGGCCATAAACAACTTTATCTTCCCGAGGCGCCTTTTCTTCTTTTTTTTTCTTCTCTCTCCCTTTTTTGTTTTGGAGTATGAACTCCAGCCCGAAAAAAAGGGAAATTTTCTCATTAAAGTTACATCCCCGCAGTTAGTTCAATTACTTGATATATGCAGAAGATGTTGTAAATTTAAAGATTTAAATAGCTTACAAAGATGCCAGGGGCTCCATCAGTTAATTTCCTTAATTTATGGATTTTTAACGCGGCTTTTGAAATGAAAAAGGAGAATGAGAAGTAGGTCATCTCAGTGATTAGCATCCTGCGCGCTCGCGAGTTGTTTTGGCGCCTTGTTTTGCGGCGGGACAGGTAGGTCAGGTGAGCCGCGCGCGTGACTCTTAAAGAGAAAAAAAGTATCGATCGGTTACCAATATTCAATGTCAGATGACTGCGTGCGCCCAGAGAGCTGTGTTACCTGCGTGGTAATGTTGTAGCTTCAAGTAAACACTAACCGAATGACATTCAATTTACATTAAAGTGATGTGAAAGTCAAAGTTTTTTAGGTGCCGATGACATCACTTGCAATGGACGCTGCTCCTCGATGTAGTTTCCTGCTAAATCAGCGGATCCCCTGAGCGGATCGCCCTAAGCGGCGGGCGCCACATACATATATTACTAAAGCTGAGGCTCTCAGACCCGAATGGCATACGGGATCCAAATTTCCGAATTGCATTGGGGAGCTCCTGAATGCCATTCGGGTCTGGGAGCCTCAGCTTTAGAAATATATGTATAGACTGTATATAGGCTCCCAAACCCGAATGGCATTTAGCTCCCGAATGCAATTTGGAAATTTGGATCCCGTATGTCATTCGGGTCTGGGTGTCATATACATGTATTACTAAAGCTGAGGCTCCCAGACCCG